AAGCTGCGAGATCACTCCCTGGGCTCATAATACAGCCGCCTAGCCAGTGAGATAGGTATGGATGAAAAAATGTTCATCCCAACCAGAGAAATACTGTATGGATCATAGGTATGACATGGAGTAATGATATTCAGAATCGCAGATAGAGGCAGTAAATTCAGACTCATCTACAAAACACACCGTGACACCGCTTAGGCTGCTATAATTCCCCTGGAGAGTTAATACGGCCTGAAGATATTATTGTCCCAAAATCTGTAATGAGAGTGTATTCTCACTCTCCGAAACATAGTCCTATGTGGTACTGCAGATGGCGAACGGACGACCTCGAACCACCGCTTGTTTCTCATTGAACTAAAATCAATAGAGTGGGACGACAAAAGGCGTCCTAATGAGCTATCTGCTGGACATGCCTCTCGATACAATGTACAGTAATTAAAACATCCCGAAAGCTGAGCGGCTTTGTGGCTAGAAGGATGGCAACGTACCTACGAGGCAGATCTTGATCCAACATGTAGGACCTCTCCTAGCTCCAATGGATCTCGGTTGTTGAGGAAAATACCAGTTTAGGATATACAACCCAGAACCTTTGTTAATCTAAAGAAGTATGAGGCATCTGCAGGGAGTCTCACCCAAACAAGAACTGCCAGGATAAGCTAAAATGAAGGGAGGCTACGGAACCTCGGTCTCCAAATTGCGGTGAGAAGCATCATGCCTGGATTCTGCACTACCCAGAAAGGCTCCACCATGTCAAGGCAGCATGGAAAACCATGGTTGTCCAACCTCCAGCATCAAGTAGAGCCCTCGTCATTGAGCAGTAGCCTCATCCAAAGAAAGTTACAGGTCAGTGGTCAGTACGCTAAGGTCAGTGGTCACCTCAGTAAGCAGAGGTCAGTGGTCAGTACGCTGAGGTCAGTGGTCACCTCAGTAAGCAGAGGTCAGTGGTCAGTACGCTGAGGTCATTGGTCCCCAGTAAGCAGAGGTCAGTGGTCAGTACGCTGAGGTCAGTGGTCACCTGCGGTCATACCTGTCCTGAGCTCTCTGGGAGTTAGCGTGGGATGTTACCAAGCACCATGGCTTGTTGCAGTGTTTTAGAATCTCAGGTTCAGGTGCTGAAGAAGGAGGTTCTACTTCTTCAGGAGGAAAATAGGAGGCTGAAGCTTCACCTAGATGAGTGTGGGAGTGAGTGTGAGAAGGGTTTAGCTGGTAAGGAGGAAATGGTCACTAGCAGTGATAGTAGCAGCCGCTTTAAGTGGCAAGTGGCTCACAGTTCAGGAAGAAGGAAGATAAAGCGAGTTAACAAAGAAGATGTGAAGGTAGGAAATCGATTCTTTTTTCTCCAGGACGAGTGCACTTCAGTGGTTACTGAGGTTGTAGGTACCACTGATTCCCCTGCTAATCAAGGTAAGACTATTTTAATAGTAGGAGATTCTCAGGTAAGATATATGGACTGTGCATTTTGTAACAGAGACAGAAAGGTCAGCCAGAGAGTGTGCCTTCCTGGAGCTGGTGTTGGTGACATAGTCAGCAGGTTGGATAATATTATGTCAGGTAATGGGAACAAGCCCATTATCTGTCTTAGTGCTGGGGGTAATGACACTGGGAAGGGCAGGAGACAGAAGCTGCTGGATAAGTACAGGTCAGCCATAGAAATAGTTAGGTCTAAGGGAGGGATCCCAGTCATATGTAGCATCTTGCTTGGAAAGGGAGTGGGCAATGAATGGATGTCTAGGGCAATTGGTATAAATTGCTGGCTAGACAGGTACTGCAAGGAACTTGCAATCCCATTCATTGATAACTGGGACCTATTCTTTGGCAAACGTCATATATATGCAAGGGATGGGGTTCATTTCCCTGGGGATGGAGTGGTTGCATTAGCCAAATCGATTGAGAAGGCAATTGATGACTTGTCTAGGAATTTAAACTGAGAGATTATAGAGGTATGGGTTTTTGTGGGAACAATCAGGCTGCAGTATTAAGGTTAAAAACAGCAGTTATTACCGGGATACCTCAGGGATATGTTTAAAAGACAATATTCAAAATAAAGTTGCTAGTAATGGCAAATCAATTGATCAACAAACAAAGAGAGATAGTAGAGGGCAATGAATTACTAGCTCCCTTAAGGTTTACTATACAAATAGTAGGAGCCTTAGAAATAAGATAGATGAGCTAAGATTACTTGCAAGTGTAGGTAATATATAGGTTATTGGTATAACAAAGACCTGGTTCAACCTGAAAGATAGAGAAATTCCTTCTGAATGCAACATACAGGGTTATAAACTATTCCACACTGACAGGGTCAACAGGAAGGGTGGTGGAGTGGCGATGTTTGTCAGAGAAAATTTAATTTGTCTTAGACGTAACATAAGATCAGAAACATCAAACACAGAATCTGTTTGCCTACAGTTTCTCGAGGGTCGTGACAAATTAATTTTGGGTGTGATTTATAGGCCCCAAAACCTTGATAGGGAGTGCAGTAAGCTGTTATGGGACGAAATTCATAAGGCATTTATATATGAAAATGTTGTGGTATTGGGAGATTTTAACTTTAGACAAACTGATTGGAACAATATGACAGGAAATCTTGAGTCTAGTGACTTTCTTGATACGGTTCAGGATTGTTTTTTAGAACAGGTTGTGACAGATCCAACTAGAGGAAACAATGATGAGCTAATCAAGGTAATGGAAAGTGATCACAAGTCACTTAGTTTCAATATATCATGGAATTACCCAGTTAACTGCAATCAAATCTGTCCCAGATTTTCACTTGGCTGACTTCATGGGACTGAAAAATTACCTGGGTGGGCTAAATTGGGATGTCCTGACTATGGGTCAGGTAGGTGATTTTGGATGCCAATATGACGTTTTTCAGAGCATAGTTCTAACTGCCCAGACAACTTTTATTCCTAGTAGGGAAATTAGATCTAACAATAATGATCCAAAATGGATGAACAATGGATTAAAACATCTCATTGGTCAAAAGAAAGGAATAAATAGGCGTATCAAAAGAGGGGATGTGCAGTTAAGAAATCAATATATTCAATTAAAGAGAGTAATAAAGAAGGGAATAAGAAAAGCAAAAAGGGATTATGAGGCTAAGGTCGCAAGGGATTCAAAGACTAACCCAAAAGGGTTCTTTCAGGTATACAAAAGTAAGATTAGGGACAAGATAAGCCAACTTAAGAGTAACTCTGATCAGATCACTGACAGTGATAAGGATATGTGTGAAATTCTCAATACCTACTACCTCTCAGCTTTCACCCACGAAAATACTAGCAATATTCCTGAAATAATAGATTATGTAGAACAGGATGATAGTAAACTATGCACGATAGCGATAACTAGTGACATGGTCCTCAGACAGATAGAGAAACTAAAACCTAACAAATCCCCAGGTCCTGATGAACTGTTTGCAAGGGTGTTAAAGGAATCTAAAGAGGAACTTAGCATACCTTTGGCTAATCTTTTTAACATACCGTTACAAACTGGCATAGTGCCTGATAAGTGGAAAATGGCGAATGTAATACCTATTTACAAGGCAGGTGACAGTTCTTGGCTTCGAACTATAGACCAATAAGCCATATCTCCATAGTGGGAAAATTTATGGAATCAATAATTGCCGAAGTAATTCGTAGCCATCTTGACAGGCACAGATTGATTAATGAATCTCAGCATGGTTTTACAAAGGGGCGTTCCTGACTTACAAATTTACTACTTTTTTCCCTAAGGTGTTTGAGTAGGTAGATCATGGTAATGAATATGACATTGTGTATATAGAATTCAGTAAGGCTTTCGATAGAGTTCCACACCAGAGGTTATTGAGGAAACTTAAGGCACACGGAAAAGGAGGAGAAATTTTTTCCTAGGTAGAGGCATGGCTGACAAATAGGCAGCAGAGAGTTTGCATAAATGGGGAGAAATCAGAATGGGGGCACGTCACAAGCAGTGTTCCACAGTGGTCAGTGTTGGGCCCGTTGTTGTTCACAATTTACATAAACGACATCAATGAGAGAGTAAATAGCGTCATAAGCAAATTTTCTGATGACACCAAAATAGGTCGTCCAATTCATTCTAATGAGGATACTAGAGCACTCCAGGATGATTTGAATAGACTGATGCAATGGTCGGAGAAGTGGCAGATGCAGTTTAATAATGACAAATGCAACGTTCTGAATGTTGGACAGGGAAATAACCATGCCACATATAAACTAAATAATTTAGATCTCAATGCTACTGACTGAGAAAAGGATTTATGTGTTCTGGTTAGCAGTTATCTAAAACAAAGACAGCAGTACTTTAGTGTTCACAATAAAGCTAACAGAATTCATGGCTTCATATCTAGAAGTATAAATAATAGAAGTCCTCAGGTTGTTCTTCAACTCCATTCTTCAACTCATTTAGATTATGCTGTTCAGTTCTGGTCACCGTATTACAGAATGGATATAAATGCTCTGGAAAACGTACAGAGGGGATGATAAAGATGATCCCGTGTATTAGTAATCTTCCCTATGAGGATAGACTGAGGGCTCTGAATCTGCACTCTTTCGTAAGGCGTAGAAGTAGGAGGTATATGATCGAGGTGTATAAATGGAAAGCAGGAATAAATAAAGGGGGTGTAAATAGCGTTCTGAAAATTTCCAGCCAAGACAGGACTCGCAGCAATGGTTTCAAGTTGGAAAAATTCAGATTCAGGAAGGATATAGGAAAGCACTGGTTTGGTAACAGAGTTGTGGATGAATGGAACAAACTCCCAAGTTCAGTTATTGAGGCTAAAACGTTGTGTAGATTTAAAAATAGGTTAGATAAATACATGAGTGGGTGTGGGTGGGTGGGTATGAGTTGGACCTCACTAGCTTGTGCTATTGGGTCTGCTTCCGTGCTCCTTCCTTCAGTGGAGGTGGCCAGACTGGGTGGGTCATAGGGCTAATCCGGGGGGGACATGGGCCTGCTCCCAACGAGTCAGTAGGCCTGTTGCAGTGTTTCTTCTTTCTTATGTTCTTAACATGGAATTCTGGGCCACTTCCCCGGCCACAGCAACGATGGAAGCCAAGGAAACATCAACGAAGTCGCACCCTTGCTCAAGAATCTTCCGATTCTCCTGCTCAAACTCCCGCTCAAAAACAGCAGCCAATGGATTGTATGCTGCAAGAATAGGATACAGTTAACGCATCAAACCTAACATTACAACAGCCACCAGTTAAGTGTACTGTAGCCCAAGAGAGCATAACAGTGCATCCCTTATTACCCCTGAGCCATCAAATGATGTCGACTATCACGTGCTTCACCAATATCATATGCGACCTGATAGATTCAAACGAAAACAAAGACATTCAGAACTACTGAGAAGACCTTCGTGGACATACGAATGATGGATAAAACAGAGTCCATAAGTTTATTTGCAAATATACCCGACCACCCACCACAGATCCCAAATGCAATGATGGGGGGGGGGTTATGGTTTCAGCCCTTTTTTGTACGGAAAATATTTTGCCGTGAAACGCATAGGCACTACAGCAAGACCTCTGATCGAGGCCACAGAACAGCTGATTTATATCGACATCCTCAGATTGGTAATCTTTGGATTAAGATCCATGTCAAGCAGTTTTTGATGAATCAATACAATCACGCAAAATTCTCGTGTGAGTGCAACATTGTAAAAGGTCCAAATCGGACTGAAACACCGTTGTAAATTTCTCACTCCTATGTGCGGGTTATTTGTGTATTGTTCCAGTCACGATATTGCGCCTTTTTGTTCGCTGTGATCATTCGTTACAAACTGGTGGTGAGAAATATACTTGTCTTGCAGGTTAATGATATGTTTAATGAAGGCGTTCACATGGTTATCAACATCATCTTGGATAAGAGCATTTTAAAAAGAGTTGGTAAACTCCGAGCAAAGGATCGGCAGTTTTCTTTTCTTCCACAGCCAGATTGTGCGTGATGAGTCTTAACTCATTCTGCTGATATCAACATTGTCGTAAAGACTGTCTTGCGATCAGATGAGCCAGCATAACCAATAAGTTTGTAAGTGATTGTGACTAGAGATTGATCACTAACCACTGGGTCAAAGAAAGTGCCAGAGATATGAGTAGAGAAGTCAACAAAGTTTGTCATGTAAAACATGGCAAGAAGTTCATCGAAATCTTTTTGTAAAATGCTAGATGAGGTCATCAACAATTTTCATATGTTGACAATATGTTCAAGTGGGTGTCCACATTTTCCATCAGGAAGTTGATCAAGTCCGCTTTCTGCCATTAAGGTCTGTTCATTGCACATGCTAGTACGGAAGACAAGATTTTATTTATAACCTGAATAACATTATGTTTAAGTTATTAGGAATGGCAGCATCAGTGTTATGGGTATATAAACCATTTATCACACACTTTAAAAAGCACACGACAGCACCTCCTCCCTGATCCTGTCTCTTTCTTCGCATCCATATAGATCAACTTGCAATTCTAGCAAAATTTTATGGAGTTATGTCGTCCTTAAGTGTCTAGACATCTGAGATCGTATCAGGACGATGAGTATTCACGAAACTTCGTAAGTTCGCCTTCATAGGTAATGAAATCATTAATGTTTGCAGACAGGATGTTAATGGTCTTCTGATTTTGTTCAATTTGACTAAATGGTTGTGTCTTTGAGACAGGTAGGTAGCACGTACAAATAGGAAGAACCTCTTTGTTCTTAATTAAGGCACAAAACCGCATAATGAGCCGAAACAAAAGTAACCGGGTGAGTGATGTACAAGGGTGTTCACCAATTTTGAGATCCTGTAAGTTTGTTCCAAGAATTAATCTCAAAAGACCTACCGAATATGCCTGTGCTGCATCTTTCTGTTTCTTCTATGGACTTCTTTATGTTCCCTCTCGTGGCAGTAATTACACAAGATATCTTGCAGATAGTTGTCAGCGAAGTGTCCCCATCTCTGAGAGCGGGGCCACTAACTAGGTGCCTCCAGGACTTAAGTAAGGCTAACCAGTTTTCCTTAATCCTTCCATAAATGTTACTTTCCTCACACTCCATCATCATGTCATCTTATACAAAACATTTGCCCCCACTCACACCTATCTATCGAGCTCACATACGCTTAATGGATATCTAAGACTGTCGCACACAAAACCTCCTTTAAACCTTCCCACAAAGTTTTCCTAGGATGATCTCTATTTCCTCGTCCCTCCACTACAGATTTATACGCCCTCCAAGTTATCCTATTTTAGTCCACCCTCTGTAAATGTCCAAACCACCTCAACAACCTCTCTTCAGCCCTCTGGATAATACTTTTAGTAATCTTGCACCTTCTAAAATCCACGTTACGTTCTGCATAATAGTAACACAGTATATTGCCCTAAGACAAAATATCTCCATTGCATCCAGCCTCCTCCTTGCTCTAACGTTCACAACCCATGCTTCAGATCTAAGAGCGTTGGCAGCACTATACTATCATACGTTTCCCATTTTGTCTTCATGGATAACGTTCTTTGTCTTCACAGGTGCCTTAATGAACAACTCAGTGTTTTCCCTCTTCAATATTATGGTTCACCTCGTGCTCCATAGAACATCTGACAAGTTCAGTCACATATGTGAGCATATTCACCCCTACATACTCCCTCTTTCCGATCTGATATCTTATTTTTCATTGTATAAATATTTTGTTGCCCTCACCACTTTACTCTTTCCTTTATTCACTTTAAATTTCCAACTTTTACATACCCTCCCAGATTCACATTCCAAATTTCGCAACTTCTCTTCAGAGTCTCCCGAAAGCAAAGTCTTACCAGCAAAATAAAATGGGTGACAGTTCCATCTGTGTGTTAGATTATTTATCTTCCAATCCCACGCATCTCTGCAACACCCCTATAAGCAACACCCCTATAATCAACACCCTTATAAGCAACACCCCTATAAGCAACACCCCTATAATCAACACCCCTATAAGCAACACCCCTATAAGCAACACCCCTATAAGCAACACCCCTACAAATATATTAAACAACTATTGTGACATCACGCATCTCGATCTAAAGGCTACTCATACTGGTAAAAATTTCTTCCTCTCCCTCTTATATACCATAACCTGAGCCTCACTGCTTTTAGTAACTTATCACCTATTCAATACACTTGCAACATAATCCACATTGCTCCCATACCCACCATATCATGTGCCTTATCCAATTTCATTAATGCATTAAAAACTTCTTTACCCATCTATAAATACTGTTCATTTATATGATACAATTCGCGTACACCCTCCCCCCCCCTACCCTTCCTGAAGCCTCGTTGTTCATCTGCCATCTTGCTCTTCATCTTACTTTTAACTTTTTCAGTAAAAACTCTACCACACATCACCAGGTATACTCAAGAGGCTTATTACTCTATAATTTTTATACTCTCTTTTGTCCCCTTTCCCTTTATACAAAGTAACTATGCATGTTTACTCATAATCCCTAGATACCTTCCCTTCTTTCGAACATTTTTTAAATAAAATCACAAACCATTCCCAAACTATATTCCCACATGCTTTTAACATTTCTGTCTTAATCCAATCAATCCCGGCTGCTTAACCCCCTTTCATTCTGTCCACAATTTCAACAACCTCTTACACATTCACATCTGGTTCTTCGTCACTTCTACAAGGTGTTATAGCACCTTGGCCAATGCAAGAAATCACAGTGTCCCTATCTTTATCAATATTTAACAGCTCATCAGTATATTCCCTTCGTCTTCCCGATACTTCCAACTCTCCATCTAATAACACTCATCGCTCCAGCTAAGTGGTGATGGCGTCTGCTTGCTTCCCATTGGTTGAGAGACCCAAATGTAAACACTTCTAGCCTTGCGTCGTCCAGAGCAGTTTTTTATCCTCGAGTTTTTCTCGTATACTCTTAGATTTTTATCCTCTGCACTGTCGGTAAGTACTGATTTTTGTGTCTAGTGTGTAAATGAATAGCTTAGGCATATTTTGATGTATGTATAACTAAAGTGTGTGTGAAGCATAATACGAGTGCACCATGCACCTGAAAAAATTGGAAGGAAAAAGGCCCACTCATAAACGGGCCTGCCCGTCAAGGCCAAAGTAGAAATTTCAGTAAATAAATATTTATAATAATTTTGCTAATACATATATGAATTCTGATGTGGTTTGGGTGTGTACAGAACGTTTTTACTGTCCTTCCAGATCAATGAGAAATTAAAATTTTTGTATGTGGTTCCTCCAAGAGAAGTCTGAATTTACCTGAGTTTACCTGGAGAGAGTTCTGGGGGTCAACGCCCCCGCGGCCCGGTCTGTGACCAGGCCTCCTTAGGTCAGTGTCCCAGGATGCGACTCACACCAGTCGACTAACACCCAGGTACCCATTTTACTGATGGGGAACATAGACAACAGGTGGAAAGAAACACGTCCAATGTTTCTACTCTGGCTGGGAATCGAACCCAGACCCTCACCGTGTGAAGCGAGAACGTTAACCACCAGGAAAGTGACTCAGATCCAGAGCCAGATGACCTAGAATTACTTAACAGTGGTGATGTTGCTTATATCTTACCCTAACTGCCTTCTCCTCCATTAGTTTTTAAACCTTCACCTCTCTCTTACTTTCTGCTACCATTTTATTTGTTTCCCACCTAGCATTTATTCTCAATGAAACTACAACTAAAAAATATTTGATACAGTTGTTTCCCCTCTATAGACATGCACATTCTGAAGTCTAGCCATCAACCTTTTATCCAGCAATATATATTACTGTTTTGCTTTTAAATAAGTATTATCTATTAAGAAACCTCTTTCTATATAAAGTTCAATAAAAGGTTCCCATTATCAGTCACTCCTGGCACCCAAAACTTACTCACCACGCCCTCTATAAAAGTTTCTCTAACGTTTGCGTTCAAGTTCAGTATAACACTTTCTCGCTTAGATCAAAACTCCCTAAACAATCACCTAAAGTCTCCCAAAATCTCTCTCTCCCTGTCTGCTACATTCCTCTCTTCCAAAGGTGCATGAACACTTATTATAGCCCACTTTTTCCATGCGGCCCTACTCTAATCTACATATTTCTTGTAATTATACAATTATATTCCCTCTTCTCCCTCCATAACTTATCCTTTAACATTATAGTTACCCCTTCCATAGCTCTACCTCTTTCAGA